AGATCTGAGAACCATGGTTCAAAGATAGCCAAGGCAGGAAAATCTGTGAGACTCTTACCTCCAGTTAACCACTAAAAAGCAGGAGATAGAGCAGTGATTCAAATGATAAAGCACTAGCCTTGAGTACAAAAGCTGCAGGACAGCACCTAGGCCCTGATGTTAAGCCCCAGACTAGTATACCAAAAAAGTTCAACGAGTATGTAGAAAAAAGGTCATGGAGTATAGCAGTTTGCTAACGGTCTAAGTGGGAAATCAGGATACTATCGCATATTGCAGTGGCCAAGGCAAGATATATAGTGCTTTAGAATAATCTGATAGCTGTGAGGATGGTGAAAGAGGATTGGATTCTAGCTAGATTGTCAAGGCAAGCCAGTGTCAATTACCCACTGATTGGATTGGATTTGTGAAGGAAAGAAAGGAATCTGGGATAATTCAGGGTATTAACTCTGAGCAGCTAGGAGAATTGTATTGTCAGTTTCTGAGCAAGGAAATGTAATTAGAAATAAATATCTTGAGTTTAGTGTGCACATATTAAAACTTCAAATTCTTCTTAGAATGTAGGTGTGAGCCCTAGGTTAAAAAGAAGCTCACAAGTCCAGAGGAGTCAAGGCTACAGATACAAATTTGACAGCCACCAGTTTGGCTTTCACCTGGTAATGCATATGGGAGTTTCAACACAAAATCTTGTACTAAATAAACACTGTACCACTTGAGGCACACCCCAGCCCTTTTTCGTAGAATAAAGAAACATAGGTTGCATGATTTCCCTCATTTGTTGTAACTGAAATGTACCAATAAATCTACAAGTAGACACAATGGATGGTAGAAGACAAAAAATACACTGGGACATGATAAATTATACAGGACTCTAGACATTCACACAGTGAGAGCAAAGGAGGATATTCTTAGGAGAAGATAGTTTTGGATATAGGGTCATATAAAATGATACTTATCAAAATGAATTACAAGACATAAAAATGAGGTTTTTTGTTTTGTTCTCTTTTGTTGATGTTTTTATTTTCCGTTCCCTGTTTTGTTTGTAAATTTTATCTGTTTTGGGGGTAAGAGAGAGCATTGAGATGATAGAACAAAGGGTAAGCAAATGCAGCAATGATACTCACTAGACACCATGTTGAAAATAAACTCTTCAGCCTTGTGTGGTGGGGGGGGGGGACAGGAGGGAAAAACTGAGAGAAAGTGAGGGAAGGGGTGACACTGCTCAAAAGGAAATGTCATTACCTGACTTACGTAACTGTAACCCCTCTCTATATCATCTTTCCAGTTACAACTTTTAGAAGAAAGGAGGAATTAAAAAGATTAAAAAACATTTATTTTTGCTTTAGTTTCTTTTTAGATAAGGTTTCTTTTGTCTGGGTGACCTCAGAGTCCAATCCTCTTACCCTCCAGGCCCCCATGTAGCTGGTATTACAGGAGTTATCTGCCATGCTGGATGTTTTTTATAGGGTCTTCATGACTTTTTTCTTTGTTGGGATTCTGGGTTACAAATCCTATCTTCCTCTCAAATAGCTGAGATTACAGGTATGGACCACTATACCTAGCCCATTCTCTCTCTCTCTCTCTCTCCCTCTCTCTCTCTCTCTCTCGTGTGTGTGTGTGTGTGTGTGTGTGTGTGTGTGTGTGTGTGATCATCTTAACATAATAGCATTTAATGAATTTACTTTTCAAATTGAAATAATTATATTTTTACATAGATAATGTAACCATATTTATATTTTATGTGCAGAAAACTATTGTTTTCCTTTTTATGGAATAAAAACTAAAATAGGTGAATATTAAGGTATGAAAGTCGTGTAATTGACTACTGAAAATAAACGTATTACTGCCTAAAGAGTTGTTTATATAAATATTTGCTTTTTTGTGTGGTTTTAAAGGTAATGCTATGGGCTATGTACGAATGATAAGATCTGGTGGTCTTCATTGTAGCAGCAATGCCATTAGGTATGGATGTACACATCATCATTTTGTCTTGTTTCTGCCATTTGAAATATGTACTTTGGGGCTGGGAAGGTGGCTCAGTGGTAGAGCGCTTGCCTTGCATGCATGAGGCCCTGGGTTCGATTCCTCAGCACCACATAAGCAAAAATAAAAAAGCCGGAAGTGGTGCTGTGGCTCAAGTGGTAGAGTGCTAGCCTTGAGCTGAAGAGCTAAGGGATAGAGCCCAGGCCCAGAGTTCAAGCCCCATGACCGGACTCCCCCCCCCAAAAAAAAGAAATATGTACTTCAATTTTTGTTATAAGTGATATTATAAAGTGTTTGTTCTCATTAATGTAATTTTAAATAAAATGCAGAAAAAGCCATTAATCCTACTCGCTTTATTTTTTTCTTAAATTTTGACTGCATTAGACTCTTTAAAATATTTTTCTTTTAAGATTATGATTTGTTTTATCAGATTGGGTTATGAATGAACCTTAAGATTACCTTATTTTAAGGTTTAAAATGTGATGAGATCTAAAATTTGATTTGGAAGTAAAGCAGTCATATTAACAATTTACTGACTTGCAAAGTTCTTTCTAAATACATAGTTAAAGATTTTGTAGCACTTTTATATCTGTGTTAATTTCATGTGTTGTAATTGGCCTTAAAAAATTCCTTCCCCAAATAGATTTGTGCCTGATCTTGAAGATATTGTAAATTTTGAAGAACTAGTAAAAGAGGAAGGTCTTGCAGAAGAAACATTAAAAGCAGCAAGGTAACATTTTGTGGAATAATTAAATTTGGAAGTTTTAAAACATGTTTATGTAAAACATAAGAGAGGATTAGAGGGGCTGGGAAGTTGGCTCAGTGGTAGAGCTCTTGCCTTGTATGCCTGAGGCCCTGGGTTCAATTCCTCAGCACCACATAAGCAAAAAGAAAAAAGCCGGAAGTGGCACTGTGACTCAAGTGGTAGAGCACTAGCCTTGAGCTGAAGGGCTGAGGGACAGTGCTCAGGCCCAGAGTTCAGGCCCCACTACCGGACCAAAAAAAAAAAAAAAAGAGAGAGGATTAGATGATAACATAAATTATATGCCTTTTTTTTTCCGGTCCTGGGGCTTGAACTCAGAGCCTGCCTGGGTGCTGTTCCTAAGACTCTTTATGCTCAAGGTTAGTACTTTACTACTTGAGCCACAGCACCACTTCCAGCTTTTTTCTGAATAGTTTATTGGAGATAAGAGTAACATGGACTTTAGTACCTGGGATGGCTTCCAACCTCAGATCTTAACCTCCTGAGTAGCTAGGATTATGTGTGTGAGCCACCAGTGCTGTTTTTATTATACAAATTTGGTGTCAGTGTAAACACACGTGTTGAATGTTAACCCCTTTGTATTTGTATAGTTACTTAAATATAATTGGAATATAATATTTAAAAAATGACAACCAGCAATAGTTTTGAAGCAGATATTATGGTACTGGCAGTGGCAGCAATAGTAGCTCTGAGTCAGCCCTGGAATCATGAGGGGAAGAAAACAATGTAAGTTACAGCATACAATTGGCAATAGGTTTATCGAGATGGAACCTCGTGTTTGGATGAAGAGCATTTATCTGTAGATAGATCATGAGAGCCTCAAAAGAGAGATTTTGTGACTTGTAACTTGAGAGCAATACAATTTGGAAGTACAATTTGTTCATGAGGGTTTTAGGAGCAGAAGCACCTAATGTTTCTGAAGGTTAAAAGAGAAAAGTTGAAAGAAGGCCAGATTTAAGTTTAGGTAAAGAGATTCAGAGGAAGGGATTTAAAATGAACCCAAATTGATTACAAAGAGATAGGTTTTAGGTTTGTTAAGAAAACAGTGCTAGGGGGCTGGGAAGGTGGCTCAGTGGTAGAGCACTTGCCTTGCATGCATGAGACTCTGGGTTCAATTCCTCAGCACCACATAAGCAAAAAGAAAAAAAGCCAGAAGTGGCGCTGTGGCTCAAGTGGTAGAGTGCTAGCCTTGAGCTGAAGAGCTGAGGGACAGCACCCAGGCCCAGAGTTCAGGCCCCAGGACATAGAAATTTCATAGTGTTTTCTGAGTATACTAATGCAACCTAACAAGAAAAGGAGTTTTAAAAAGACACAACTTCTTTTGAAAACAAAGCCAAGGAGTACCTATTTTTGTTTAATTTGTAGGCATTTGGACTCTGTCCTCAGTGATCATACACGAAATTCTGCAGAAGGCACAGAATATTTTAAAATGCTTGTCGATGTTTTTGCACCAGAGTTTCGAAGGCCCAAGAACATACATCTTCGAAATTTCTATATCATTGTTCCTCCTCTAGTGAGTATTTTCAGAACCTGAAGTGATTTTTTTTAAAGAAAAATGTTTGATAAATAGAACTGATTTCCTTATAGCATAAATTGCACATAGACTGTGTTGTCCATTAGTATCCACATCTGGCTACTGAAATTTAAATGAATTAAAAATTTACAAAATAAATGTATGTTTTTGCCAGGCACTAGTGGCTCATGCCTGTAATCCTAGTGTCTCAGAAGGCTGACATCTAAGGATTATGGTTTGAAGCTAGCCTGTGCAGGAAAGTTTGTCTTCAATTAACCACTGGAAGTGGTACTATAGCCCAAAGTGCTAGTGTTTGACTTGAGCAAAAGAGTTCAGGGACTGGCCCCAGGCCCCAAGTTCAAGCCCCATGGCTGACAAAAAAAGATTAAAAAAAGAAAAGAAAAGAAAAGGAAAAGGTGGTTTTCTAGAGCTCAGTTACTATGTGCAACTAGTGGCATCTTGTTTTAGGCAGCACAGCCACCCATCTCTTGTGTTGCCTTTTGAGAACTCTAGATGACAGTTGATTTTTTAAAAATCCTAAACAGTTAATTGCCTCATGTTTACTAAGCTTTAGCAAATATTTATTGAACAAATGGTTTAAGATAATTTTCAATAGTAGTACTATTTGGGGGGAATTCATCCTTGAAGCAAAGAACTAAGAACTAGCCAGATACCTGTGGCTCATGCTTGTAATCCTAGCTATTCAGGGGACTGAGATCTGGAGGACTGTGACTTAAGGCAGTCCCTGGATTCCATTTCCAAAATAAGCAGCACAAAGCTGGCCTGGAGGTGGGACTAAGTGATAGATTGCCAGCCTAAGAAGTGTGAGTCCCTAAGTACTGCTAAACTAAAACCCCTAATTCTTTTTAACCGAGAATGTGATAGTTAGTTTTGAGAATGTATTGAGTAGGCAGAAATAAGGACTGTTTTGGTAAGAGTGTTTTGGTAAAGAGACTTGGTTTTCTGGCTTCCACACTCACTTTGTGTGACTGGGATAAGATACTCTCCCTAAGCTCAGCATTCTCATCTCCAGAGTATATGTAATACTGTACTGCCATATAAGACTCAGTGCTAGGGTTAAGTAGTGATTGAGGGAATACTCATATTTAAAGGACTTGGGAAGAAGAGCCATTAGAGACATATTTTTGTGTAGATTTGTGTTTTTATCAAGGGACTATTTGGGGCAAAAGTTTTAAATCGAAGTATAGCAATCTAAAAGAGATTAAGTCTTGAAAATAGTAAATTCTGAAGATTTGGTTAGCATAGTTGCTTCCCTAATATCTTTTTATTCCATTTTAGACCCTCAACTTTGTAGAGCATTCCATTAGTTGCAAGGAGAAGTTAAATAAAAAAAATAAAATTGGAGCTGCCTTTACTGATGATGGTTTTGCTATGGGTAAGTTTAATGCAGCTGTTTTCCTATTAATTTTTTGTTTACCTTATGATGAGTTCTAGAAACATTTGCTTGAAATAGGGCTTTGCTCTTTACAGATTTTTTTTTTTTTTTGGGTCTGGTCGTGGGGCCTGAACTCTGGGCCTGAGCGCTGTCCCTCAGCTCTTCAGCTCAAGGCTAGCGCTCTACCACTTCAGCCACAGCACCACTTCCAGCTTATTTCTTTTTTCTTATGTGGTGCTGAGGAATCGAACCCAGGGCCTCTGGCATGCAAGGCAAGCGCTCTACCACTGAGCCACCTTCCCAGCCCCTCTTTACAGATTTTTTAATGAGCAGTGTTTACTTTCTAAAATGAGGCCATAGATTAAAACTACTCATTTTTTGTCATTGCTAGTTATCATTTAATACCTATTACCTTTGTATTGCTGATCACTTGTCTGGTTTAATCTGATACATAGGCTTTGCCTTTGTTAAAGTTTTACAGGTGTTTTCTGTTTTTATTTTTGTTTTGTGCCTGCCCTGAGTCTTGAACTCAGGGCCCAGGTGTTGTTCCTGGTTTCCTTGCTGCTTCACTTGCTATTTAGCAATGGAAGATTTTATTTTCTTAACATAGCTGTGTTTCTCCGGATTATTTATTTATTTATTTATTTTTTGGGTCCGGTCGTGGGGCCTGAACTCTGGGCGTGGGCACTGTCCCTCAGCTCTTCAGCTCAAGGCTAGCCTTCTACCACTTGAGCCACAGAACCACTTCCGGCTTTTTTCTTTTTGCTTATGTGGTGCTGAGGAATTGAACCCAGGGCCTCAGGCATGCAAGACAAGCGCTCTACCACTGAGCCACCTTCCCAGCCCCTCTCCGGATTATTTTTATGGGCAAGTTAATTTATTTTTTTCTTATTTGGTTTCTTTCAGTTTTTGATACTTTTATGTCTTCTTTTAAAGGAACAATTAGCCATTCTGGTAAATTTATTTGTGCTGCAAAATGTGATTTAAAAGAGGTTAGCTTAGTGCTAGGAGTTATTGGTAAAGGAGTAGAGAACACAACTTCTGAACTAGTGTTAATTTAACTTTGGTTTTGCTTAATGACTACAGGTGTGGCTTACATCCTAAAGCTTTTGGATCAGTACCAAGAGTTTGATTCACTTCACTGGTTCCAGTCTGTTAGAGAGAAATACATAAAGGAGATAAGAGCAGTTGCCAAGCAACAGAACGTACAATCAACTAGTCAGGATGAAAAATTACTGCAAACCATGAATCTCACTCAGAAGCGACTGGATGTCTATCTACAGGTAGAAGAAGAAAAGAATCAACTCTCCTTTGACTGACTTTTTGATAATCATTATGTTTGACAACTGAAAACCAGAAGCCATATGGAAATTGCCACTTTAACAAGTGAGATAAATAGTGGTAAAAAGAGTACATTTTAGATATAAATGATACCTGGAAATTATTTGATTTCAAAAATGGATAGGTTATTTAGTTTTGTTTCTTATATTTATGATTTTAATTAAAGCTTGTGTGTATGCGCGTGAGTGTGTGTTGATCCTGGGGCTTGAACTCTGGGCCTGGGCCTGCTTTGAACTGTAATCCTCAGATCTCAGCCTCGAGTAGCTAGGATTCCAGGCGCTAGCACTCAGTGCCACTAGCACTCAGTTTAATTAGATACCTTTTTTTTTTTTTTTTTGGGTGGTCGTGGGGCTTGAACTCGGTCTGGGCGCTGTCCCTCCACAGCTCTTCAGCTCAAGACAAGCACTCTATCGCTTGAGCCACAGTGCCACTTCCGGTTTTCTAGTGGTTTATTTGGAGATAAGAGTCTCATGGAGTTTCCTGCCCAGACTGGCTTTGAACAACGATCCTCAGATCTCAGCCTCCTGAGTAGCTAAGATTATAGCCTTGAGCCACCAGCACCAGCTAGATACCTTTTTAAAATAGTAATGTGATATGATGTAAATAGTTTTGGTATTTTGCTCTAAGTATTTTCCCCTTTTATATTTATTTACATAGGAGTTTGAACTGCTATACTTCTCACTGAGCAGTGCAAGAATTTTCTTCAGAGCAGATAAGACTGCAGCTGAAGAGAACCAAGAAAAGAAAGAGAAGGAAGGTCAGTAAGTGGCTTAAGGTGGAAAAATCTTTACATATCTCTTTAAGAATCAACACAAATGAATATCCCCATTCTCCGGTCATTTCTAGCTTCCTTACTTTTTGGAAAATAATATTGAAATAAGTCCTATATGACAATAAGTCTTCTAAAAAAGTAAAGCTCATATGAATCATGTGCAGTGGAAACTCTTTTCACTCTGTGGTAACCTTGTAAGTTCTTATCCATTTCATGTTCTGATTGAAATAAAGTTTAAGCCAGTTTTTATTTCACAATTAAACTATATCAGATTAGAAGGAACAAATTAGGAGACAATGACTAAACATTGCTGCAGAAAAAGCTGCTGCCAACTTGATGTTGATTTAATGGGTGGGAGAGGTATTTAGAAGTCTAAAATGAGGGCTGGCTGTCAGTGCCACAGTAAGCAGCATCTTGCTTTCCTTCCTACTTAGGCCTGGAGAGTCCAAGTGCAGCGCAGCCATAACTGCTAGTCATTTCAGTGCAGTTGAGTCACACTAAGGACTCAATATTGTGCTGTATGTAGGATGAATCCAAAGCATCACTTAGTGGCCACAATGTCTCCATGATATAAGATATGTCATTTAGGAGCAGTTGTTTTTTCCTGAGGAACAGATGTTTACTTTTTCTTGTCATGGAAATTATGTATTATTTTTCTTTGCTTGGATGGTCATATCTAGTTCACCATTAAAGTTTTCATGTTTGTTCTTCCTTCTTTATACTAATGAATTTTTCATAAATCAAGATAGAAGAATCACTCTCCCTACTTTTTAACATGTCAGTGATGTAACTCATTTGGGAAGATCATTTATATGACCAACTTTGTTCTTGATTGCTTCATAAATACTAATATTGCTTACTTATTAAGAACATATCCAGATATTTTTAGAAACTAGACCTACATAGTAAGCATGTACTTGAAAAATTATTTCTGCCTGTTATCTGGAAGACAATATTTACCAAGTGGAAATTTGAGCATATTATATTTGGCTCCAGGACTAGGATAAACTAGTGAATCCATTTTCAAGAATTTGTGTTTGTATAATCTAAATTGTGGAGAAACTCAGTTATTGCTTATGTTTGCTCCTGCATTATGTGATATCAGGAATATAGTAGTGCTGGGAAAACCCTGCAAGTAAAAAAGACAAATAAGTAAATAAATAAAATCTACCACCTAATCCTACAGGCTCATGGCAGTGAGACTCCTTTCTTTGGTCTACTTTTTGTTTTTGTTTTTTTCAGTTATGGGACTTGAATTCAGAGCCTGGGCATTGTCCCTGAGCTTTTTTGCTCAAGGCTAGTGCTCTACCACTTTTAGCCACAGTTCCACTTCTTGTTTTAATTGGAGAAAATAGTCTGGTACTTACTTGGAGATAATAGTCTCACAGACTTTCCTGCCCCACTTGGCTTCAAACTGAGATCCTCAGATCTCAATTAGGATTATAGGCCAGTTAGGATTATATAGCCACCAGTGCCTGGCTTGGTCTGTTCTTAAGGAACTTTCAGAACCTTAAGATTCTGTTTGATACATCTCACTCACATGTCCAGGTCATGCATTTTTCTGTTTAAAACTGTATTTTTAGCTGAAGATTGTTCCGGGAGGTAATCAAAGTTGCTTATTACATAAATAGTTTTCCTCTGTTAGTGAAGAACATTCAAAGTACTGTTAAAATTCATTCTAATCACAAATCAATAAAAAAAACTGCTTTAGAAAATGGGAAGTTATTTGTTCTGGACAATGTTTCTTTCAGTTATAACAGGGTACCTACCCTAAGGTGACAGCTTTCCTGGAGGAAGTGGGAGTGCATGCCTTCCTTCTATGAGGGCTATCAAAACTGCACAGGAGACAGGAATCCAGGCAGACTGAAGCCCCACCCCAGAGGCAATTCTTAACTTCTCAACTCCACATTCCCATTAAGAACCAGTCAGCCTTTACCAGTTTGTAGCCTATATTTTAAAAAAAAAAAACAACAAAAGAAGCTAGATACAATTTGTGATTAAGAAATACTTGATGTGTAAACTTTTCTTACAACTTAGCAGTGTAACATTCACAAATGTTAGTATCTTAATTCATTTTTTATTAAATGAACATAAATATGTCCATTGTTATTTTCATTACGCTTCCAGAAGAAACTAAAACAGGCAATGGAGATGTGTCTGACAGCACTGTGACTGCCGATCCTGTTGTGAAATGAGGTTGATGGTATGAAGTCTTCAGAATTGGCTCATAACTTTTACCACTGAAATGGATGTTATAAACTATTATGAATTGTTTCCTGGGATGCATATCTGGAAGGTATTTACATTTTGCAGCTCTTTAAGGCAGCCCTCTAAAGTTAAAACTTAGAAAGTTCTACTTTTCAATGACTGAGAATAAGATTTTAAAATTGGACTTCTGCTTGGACCTTAGGCTGGAAGATGTTCCTAGGAGCAGTAAGTTAAAATGAAGTTAGAGGAGGACAGATCTGAATTCCTAAACTGTCGCCTCAGATCTCTTATAATCTTGTGTGTAATTCATATTTACACAGGTCTTTCATCTGTATCTCCATTCATTGCAAAGTCAGTGCATATATTTTATATAGCCAGTAAACATGTTAAAACAAAGATTTGAGCTTGAAATTCATGAAGCATACATATTAATATGCTTATGAAAATAATATATGAAAATGGCTTTGATGCTAGAGGTGAGGCACAAGTGTTATGTATTCTTTGTACAGTAGAACTGATGATCATGCGTTATTAATTTCATGTGACTCACAAGAGCTGCTGATGTCTTTGATGAGACGTTTTGAAACTAGTTTACATTGCTTTGGGAACATTTAACCTCCAACAACTGCTTTAAATTTAAGATTTACTTAATACTCAAAATCTCAGATAAAGCCATAGAGTCCTGCTTGAAGCTTTTTTTCAATTTGAAGGCAGTCTGTATGATACCAGAAAAAATTGAATAACTTCTACATCCAAACTCAGGTTTCTTCTACACTAAACAAAATCTTGGTGATGGTTTGGGCAGAATTTTTCTTTTCATCAGTCATAATTTAAGATACAATTAAATACTAATTGCACTGTTGGCAGGCTTTTAAAAATTTACCACTGTGAGGATAAAACTCTTAATAATAAATCACTTGCTAATTTAAAAAAGTATTAGATTTTGAGTAAATTTAGTTCCTAGTAAGCTACTAGCTTTATTTTTGTAAAGGTCCGTTAGTTAAGTGGGTTAATCATGGCCTTTTAAAGTACAATAAAGTGACATCTTTATAACGAAAAGGAAAGTTTAAAAATTTGTATGTAATACATCATTTTGGGAGATGTTTGGTCTTTCTATTACATTTGCTTGTTAAACATTTCTTTGGCTAAATCTTGGAAATAATTCTAACATTGTTAGAATTATAACATTATTCTCTGACTGCAGATTCTGGAACGGGCATACAGTGCCCGTATTTATCGGTTAGCGTCCAGGGTAGCTTTCCCAGCCCCAAATAAATGCTTTCACTGTTAAGTCAGAGGAAACAGAATATGTAGGAAATGGTTTTTGCTTATTTTGTAGACGTGGCTTACTGAATTAATGGATAACGGACGGACTAAAGGCATTTAATATTTCTAATTCATATTAACTGTAGAAATGGCCCTAAAGCATGCTGCATAATTTCTAATTTATATTTTCATTATTATAAATGTTTATATTGATACTGGATTTGATTATATCAAATTATAGTCAATATTTCGTAGCAACAGTATTGTTGTATTTTTCTTCTTTGACTTCCTGAAAGCATCCCCTTTAACAGGAAGTTTTGATTAGAAGAGCGTCATATGTTCTTTGTTTTTTACAACACATGAAAATGAATTCTTGTATCAATATTAGAGTTCACTGTTGACTCTAGATGCCTAGAGTGAACACTCTGGTTCATTGCCAGATACCTACAATTGAGGAGAAAGTCAGACTATTTTACCTTTAGTTCAAAATAATGTCATTGAAGTTATCATGGATAAATTATACATCCATATATTTGAGTTACAATGTTTGAAATGACAAATATATAAATGATATTAGGTTGCAGAGCAACAGGACTTCATATATTCACAACTGAGTTAATACATACATGGATGAATGATGATGGTTTTCTTTTTGCTAACATTACTGTTAATATATTGTAGACATTATAATCTAAAAATTAATTTGAGCATTAGTTGTAAGGTCACAGAAAATTTAGCAATGTTCAAATCCTCAGGAATTAAAGACTAACCATACCATTGTTGTTCTAATCAAATTTTGTAAAAGATGGCACGCTTGTTACCTCACTTGAGTGGAGGTTCCCCCTCCCCCCAATTCTAAGAGAATACAGTATGTATAAAAACATTAATAAATATAATTTCAAAACTTTCCTTCTTCTGCATGTCTGTGTCAAAGTTTGAATGTCTTAAGCCAGTATTTAATATGAACCTTTCTGAAGTCCCTTTAAATCAAAGTACAAGTAATCTCCAAGCAAAAATTTGCTTGTGGTTGTCTTCAAGGGCAAAACACAAAACTCACTTGAAAAACAACCTAAAGCAAAAGGATTAGAGGTGTCACTTTAGTAGAGCACTTGCCTGAGCTCAAACCCAAACTCAAGTGCACCACACACATTTACACATACACATTCACTTGTCCTCATCTTCATGATAGCAAGAGCCTTTCTTAAAAATGCTTTATTATGCATGTCTCATTTATACATAAATATAACGTTGGCATTGGGTCTTCTTGTGTATCACAGGTGAAGAACTTTTGTATTCTTTCCTATAGAGGAAAGAAACACCCTTGGATCTTTTCATAGCTTCATATTTTCAAATAAAAAGAACCAACATGAAGTTATTTCAAATTCTCATCTGGAAAGGGACCCTAAGTATGTGTTGTTTAGTGTGTCAGAAGTGTTTTATCTATAAACATGAATCAAACCGAAATATTGATAAACAAGGTTTTTATTTTTACTTTGTCTGTCTTGGGTATTGAACTCAGGGCCTAGGTGCTGTTCCTGGGCATTTTGCTCAAGGCTAGGGCTCTACCACTTTGAACCACAGTACTACTTCTGGCTTCCTGGAGGTTAACTGGAGATTAGAGTTCAGGCTTTCCTGCCCAGGATGGCTTCAAATCACAATCCTCAGATCTCAGCTTCCTGAGTAGCTAGGATTATGGGCATGAGTCACTACTGTCTGGCAATATTTTTTAGCGAGGGAGGACAGGGACTTACTGTGTGGCCCAGGCTGTCTCCAGTTTATGCATCTTCTGACTTAGTCCCCCAAGTGCTGGTATTACAGGTAGGGACCTCCATGCACAATTTGAGACCCTTTTAAGTACTACCCTGGATACCAGAGATGCAATCTTGTTGAGTATTGTGCTAGAGAAATGTCTAATTGCTGCCCTTCTGTCTTCTATGGTTGTCAATGTCTACAATTTGAGGAAGCTGAAATGATGGCATCATGTTACTTATTATTATTATTTTTTTTTTTTTTGCTGGTCATGGGGCCTGAACTCTGGGCCTGGGCGCTGTCCATCAGCTCTTCAGCTCAAGGCAAGCACTCTACCTCTTGAACCATTGTACCACTTCTGGTTTTCTGGTGATTAATTGGAGATAAGAATCTCATGGGACTTTCCTGCCCAGGCTGCTAGGATTACAGGTGTGAGCCACTGGCGCCCAGCTCGTGTTACTTTTTATGCTGCATTCACTAAAAGTAAATCGTAGACTGTAATGAGCCTTAAAGATTTGGGCTCGATTGTCTTTTCAGCTTCATGTTGTAGACATTTTGGAATACCTTCTTTTAGTTAGGGAAATTTCAGTACTTTTTTTTTTTTAAAGTAAGTTTCAGTGTTTTTGTTTTTGTCTTAAAGCAAGGCTTTTAGATGTTAAGCACAGTTTAGTAGGTTGTCAAAGATTTCAAATAATAATACTGAAAATTTTCCCATTCCACCATTTCTTCCACTGAGAAATTCCAGGGGACTTTTAGCTCAGCCTGTCAGAGGATCTACTAATCTAATACAGCGATGCTGTGCAAATCTGGTAAGTCCTTGAAGAACACGGAACTAATTTGACAATGTAGAATCTCATACTGGTGTAGATCTTTCACCATGCCTCCCATAGTATGCACATGAAAAGAATGGATTCTCCAGCATCCTGAGAGGTTGTGAAAATTGTGATTCGTTTACCATTAAAAAAATGTTCTATACATGTTAAGTAGAAGTATTTTATAGTCTTTTTTTCTAGGATTTCTTTATATCTTTTTTGGGGGTATTAACTTAGAACTAGAGAACTGACTTTACTTTTTTCTTCTAAGGATAATCTAGAAAATAACCACAACAAGTAAAAGATACAGAATGGTAATTTTTATTGCTATGTTAATATTACAAAGATAAAAGGAGTCTGTTGAAATTGGCTACAATTAAACACACTATACCAATTCAAGATCCTTACACTTGTTTCATAATTAGGGGGGATAGATGAGTGGATTGGCTCCAGGAACCAAAAATACCAGGGTAGAAATAAAACTTTATACCATGCCCCACAAGCAGCTGTGCTTCAAGTAAGTTTTAAAATTAATTGGTCCCTTACTTGAGGGTCTGGCTCAGAAGAAACAGGAACTAGTAGAGTTGTACCCTGGCCACAGGAAATACCCACTAAAGTCACATCGAAGAGTACCTTACAGTTTTGAATGAAGGCTGGTTCTCTAAGAGTCTCTTGTAAAACATCTTTTGTGGTATTCACCTGCTACTCTTTTTATTGCATAATGTCTGGAAGTTATCAGAACTAGACCTGCATCTCTACTACTGCTTGTCACCTAACTACAGAGTAATGTAATGCTGTGAGGTCCCGTTATAAGACAGACTGAACGTAATTACATCAAGAATGACAGGCACTTAAGATTCATTAAGTAAAATACAAAAATAGATTATATTAATAGGAAATATTTAGTATTAAATTTTAAATCTCAGCTTTTGCTATTTTTACAAAAGATACTGGAGATGACATCCAAACCAAGTGAACAATGCATTTTCATAGCTTTTGTTCTGAGCACTAAATAATGCAGTCTATCGAAAAGACTTACCACAAAGCACCTAAAATAACATTTGTAGAGAGTAGGAACGTTGTCACCCATTTCTTATTGTCTCCCTCCCAAGTCTCAGTAGCAAGACATCGAGGGGTACATTCCACAAACGCTTGTCAGCATTCTGAAACCAGGTCAGTGTGCCTGTGCATCAGAGAAGTTGAGAACCCTTAGCGAGGTAGCTCTCCTTCTGTGTGTCTTCCCCACACACCCCAGTGAGTTATGCTTCAGATTCTGCACCTCTATTTTCACTTGGACTTCCACCATTGTCATCTGGTTGATCGTTTAACAGTACATATTTTCCATCATTAGTTAGTGGTACAGACAGCATTAATTGAGCCAGTGCTTCTGGATCCTGAAGTTAGGAAAGTTTAAGAGAGAAAAAAAGGAAAAAGCTTAAGATGTACTTAAGACTCCCCCCTGGCTTGGCCTTTCAGTGTGTTCTGTAATCTGCCTTATTGCTCTTAACCTGTGTGAAATCGCAAGGGCATTACTTCTAGAATCTCAGCTAAGTTCTTCTTGTCAGCCAGAATGTCATTTATTATTCATAACCATCTTCCAAAATAGAGTCCAAAGGGGAACTTCCTTCACAAAACCTATCTTTTATCTTAAATCTCTTTTTTGTCTTTTAGTCTTTATCAGGAGGAGTTTGGCAAACTGACCAGTTTGGTCCCAATTGTTTTTATAAATAAGAGTTGTACTGGAGCATAACCATGACCATTTGTTCATACACTGGCTGAGTTGAGATGATAAGCCCGTAAGATAAAGGCCACTTTATAGAAGTATGCTGACCTCTGACCTATACCAACTGGGCATGGCAGCACATACTTGCAATCCCAGGGAGACAGCATCACAAGTTGGAGGCTAGCAGGGACAAAGTTAGCAAAACACTATTTCAAAAAAACAAAAAGGCTGATGACATAGCACATGTGTTAGAGTGTTTGCTGGATGAGTTCTGGGTTCAATCCCTGTATAAACCAATTACAAATAAGTTTCTGTCTTGTAGTTATATCAGGTATGTTGCTAAGTGCACTCATAGGGTAGCTTATGTGTTAATTATTTAAATTTTAAAAATTTATTTTTTAGCCATGTGCACTTTGTATATTAAATAATGCACATTTAGATAGCTTCTATTACTACAAAAATTCTTCCAGACATTGTGGAACAAGAAGCCACCTGGGGAAGGGACAGAGCTTATTCACAGCTATATTTCCAGGATTTTTCTTATACCAATTAGTCTTTTCAAATATTGATGGATGTATGAAAGACGGTGAGGTGCTGAATGACAGGGAGCTGAGTTGATCATTTCTAGTAAGTTCCCGCGTGGTATCTCTCTGCTGCTGGGCCTGTGATGATCCTCTGAGGAGCTAGGCTATAGAGCACATGATGGGTACTTAAGTTTGTATCATCTTACTATGAAAGAGAAGAAATCTAGCCAACAAGTATGCAAGCAAGAAAATTAACAAGACAGGGGCTGTGACAGTGTTACTTATTAAGTACAGATGTGTTAGTGAATGTGTTTAAGCAGCTGGTCACAGATGTCTGGTGGTTATAGAATGCTTAAAGGGAATGCTAAACATATTTACAGTATCTCAGAAGCATCACTTCCTTTTTGAGAATTTTACTGTATGACATCTTTTGAGCAGTTGTTAAACCAGCACTGAAATTCTCCTTACCTTTTGAACCTCAATAATTTCTTTTCCCAAATTAATAGCATAACATATCTGCAAAAGACAAGAAAAGTAGTGTTTGGCAAAGGTCGAAATGCATTAGAAAAATTCTAGGCACAGAGAGTATGTGAGCGACTGCTCACATCCACATGGCAGACTGGATTGGCTACAGCAGGTAAGTTTCATGCAGTTCAACACCACTGACCTCCTCTTACCAGTTACTGCCATGGACAAAATATTCCAGGTGAGTGAAAACTTAAGTCAATCCAAAGTTTAAAATTCCTAACAGAACATTTTTTCCCTCTCATAATAAGCTACTTAATGTTCATATACAGGGTGGCAACCAGACATGTAATAAAAGGATTGAGAGCCGGGCAATGGTGGCTCATACCTGTAATTCTGGCTACTCAGGAGGCTGAGATCTGAGGATTGCAGTTCAAAGCCAGCCTGGGCTTTGAAAATCAGAAGTGTGAGCTATGGCTCAGATAATAGAGTACTAGCCTTGAACTGAAAAGCTCAGGGACAGAGCCCAAGCCAGAGTTCAAGCCTCACGATTGAAGAAAAAAGAAAAGAACAATTGATTAATTTTAGGGCAGGGGGTACTGAAGATTAAACTCAGGGCCTTGAGCTTGCAAGGCA